TGTGTATCTATCAGACAACAGAAAACATCTGCGACAGGACGATAAGGAGCCCTCGCCTCGGATGGACGGTCAGCTCCGCTTCACACGAACGGGAGATGCTGAGCGATTCGGCGGCGGGAGTAAGGCCAGCCCGCAGGCAGCCGCAAGATGACTTTGGTTCACGCGCTCAGCCGTTGACCTTTAACACATTTAAGCCCTCAAAAGACAGAGACATCACAATCGCTGACCTTTGACCCTTTTAAGAAAGACGCTTCAAAAATTGTACCTCTGAATTTAACAAGCAGAGCGTTCTGACCCTACAATAAATCACGGGGGAAGGTAACTTGATACGCCTCTAGCCAAGCAAAGGTCACTGCCATTAATCCAACAAGGATTTTTGTCCTAAAATAACACCTTTGGAGCAAGTCAAAATTGTCCGACTTGTAAACAGGACAGGGAAAAATGAGCTGCCTTGCTTAGTTGACACCGACCTATAGGGGTCGCTCTCGAGGGGGAAGCATAGAGGAGGTTCTGGCTCAGTACATCTCCTTCTGCAAAGTGACAGCTGTAGCAGTGATCAGCTTGCTGTGGGCACACGTCTGACATTTAACTGACGGCATTTGTGAGGCAGAAAGAGGAACTGCCACGCATGCAAATTTGTTGGTGGGGAAATGTGCAGAACAGAGGGAAAAATTTGTGTCTGCAGTTTCGGGGTAAGAGTGAGGTGGGAGGAGGGCAGGTGGCGCTGGGATGAAGGGGGAGAGTGGACTGCAGGTTCCCCCCGCTGTGGTACGTGAAGCCCTGCTGTCTGGGCTCCGGTCAGGTTGTGGCCTAGAATCTAGCCCCTTCATCTCAGCCCCAGCCTGACTCCGGAAACCATGACATGTGAGGACACCCCGGTCAGCGTTGGGCACCACCTGCCGCTGGTTATGTAACTTCAAAAGGAGCAGTGACGGAGGTAAGGACTAATTGGGAGCCGCCTCTCCACCCCTAGCTGCGGGACACGTTAGCAGCAGGTACTAATGAGATGATGACTCCAGACCCATCTATACATCCCCCTCACACTTAGTGGCCTCCAGACAGCCTGACAAGGAGCTGAACTGGGGTGGGTTTCCCAAAAGCCATCGATCTTGTCGAATAACGAACAAGATAACAAATGACAGAAGAGCGAGTGATGTATGCAAGCGTTTCCTAAAACCCTCCATTATTCCAGAATTTACTAATGAACTTTAAGTAGCACAGTTGGCTTCTCCCCAACCTCCGCGTCAGAAAAGCACAAACTGTCGATAACAGGAACATCGATCCTCCGTATTTCAGTGGTGAAATATGTTATATGATCGTCGCACCAGACATATGCAAATGTAAAAAAAAAAAAATTAAATCAATTAAAATACACCAAAGCAACCAAAATTAAGACCAAAGATAAATTAACCTATTTGTTGAAAATATAAATATTGGCTCAAAATGTGATGTTGCATGCATGTAAAAAAAGCGTAATGGTGAGCAGCATTAGGAAAAGGAAGAGACACTTCTCCAAGGAAGCCTTAAAACAACTTATTGAGGCAGTGGCCAAAATATATTTTGATAAAATAATTACTGCATTAGTTACACATAAGAATAACAGCAGAGCAGCATTCAGGGGAAAACCTTAGAGCTCCCAAGGACTTCACACCTTCCACAAGCCCCAAGCACCATCTACTGCAGTTTGTGTTTTTTGCTGTGCGGTGTTATACCTCTAGTAGGCCACGGTTTGGGGAATCAACACTAGAATCAGCAGGTTTTCACTAACAGGATACCTGATGTCTCCCAGCCACCAGCAAACACACCATCCTTTGTCATCTGACATACTCTAATTCTGTACCGGATAATAGCATCATGTGGACTCCCAGGCCACTTGGTGACAATGTTTGCAAAATGTCCTTGATGGTTGCATATCACCTGGACATTTAGGCCTAGTGCCAAGAATCCTTTTTGACAGGTGCAAGTGGGATTCAAAGCTTGAAGGTTCCATCCACTGCACCTACAAGGCCAGGTAAGCCTGCAATGGAATGAAAACCAATTTTAGTGTCATGCAAGGCATCCCCTCTTGCTGGACATTGCATGTAGTTGTGCACATGGTGCAAGAGAAATGTGATGAATGCACAGATGCAGGACGCAGCAGCCTTGCTGAGGCCATGTGCGTCTGTACTGTATGTCTGCAGGAATCTACCAATGGCGTTGAAGCAGAGAGCTGTCAGAAGCTGCACAATGCAATGAGGGCAAAATTCCAGTATGTTCCTCTTTTCAATTTGTCCTGCACCAGACAAAGGATGCTCATTTTTTCACCCCAGACCAGCCTGTTTTTCTCTATGGATTGTTCATGAATGTTATTGCTCTTGTCCACACACAAAACAGCATTTAGACCAGCAACTTGGCCTCCTGGGTTGCACTGTCTGAAACAATATCTTTGGTTGACTTGCACAGTCGCACAATTCTCTGCCATTGCTGGTCCTGGGGGGTGATTCACCTTCCCAATTCAAAGGATGTGACTAAACACATTGCAAGTTTGATTGGTTAGCTCATTTTGTAGCCTACTTGTTCAGAATTTATGAATTGCGCCCCATTCCATTCATGAATTATAGGCTAATGGCCACAGAATTCAGTGTATGCTGTTTATGTTAACATGCTGTGTGATTCATATTGAAATATTAAGCTGTATTGTTACAACTGCACTTACAATATGTATATGAATTTTTGTGACATTTTTAATTCAAGTCTCATATTCAAAGTCGAATTGCGGTTCTGCTCTGTGTTTTCAACTAATTTTATAAAGTGAATTTGATTTTCAAGGTGCACAACGGTGCACAAGGTGAATGTAGCACAATCCTGTTATGTACTCATATTGCAGGTGTTGCAACAGCGAGTCCCATTTACGCTAATTTATAGTCGACATTATACATTTATATTGCAATACTGGCTTCTTATTGTATCATCAGCATTATTAGTTTTGTCCAAAAAAGCGAGTCAATGTGTATTTGTCATCTATTTTGACCCATCTCCGTGTCTCTGACAGGACAGCAGGCTAAAGTTCAACTAAAGAACAGCGTTGAAAATAACGATTGGTTGGGAGCATTCGTAAATTTGCGAACAAGATTACGAACTGCTTTAGTTACAAATGGTTTCAGGAAACGCTTGCTAATTAACGATCGATCGGTCACCCCTGGTCTGGGGGAGCAGCAGGATGCGCTTTAAATATTATACAATTTATAGTGATTCTGTCCACTTTGTGATAAAGAAAGCTGCTAGCTAACATGGATTGTTCATGCTATAGCCAGCAGTGGCTAACAGCGTGAAGCTGTAAGCTAACACTAGCACAAGTCCCAGAAGTAGCCCTGCTGTAAGCCTCTAGAGCTGGGCGATTAATCTGAACTACTCCAGCAAAATACCCAGCTGTATCCACAGGGCACACTGTAGGATAACCAATGTAAATATTCCAGAGAGTGGAATCACTGTCGCACCTTTGACACGGGCGCTCAGCCTGTATGACGTCAGGAAATACTCAGCGTCTGCAGATGGAAGCAAGAACGTCTCGCTTTCATCTGGTAGAGATGAGAAACACAAACAACCAATAATGTGACGCAGGGAATGGTCAATAGAGTTACCCCTCAGAAAAAAAACATACTTGCTTTAAGAGGTATTCCACTTGTATCTTCGAAAACGTAATTACATTCAGAAGCCGTGTGATATTATGCACCCTGAAAATAAAAGACCCAGAAATCGGCCCACTGAGGCCGACACCCAATACACTGCCTGGTATAGAACTTTCAGATTAATTAAGGTCTCTTTCATTTTAATTAAATATCCCTTTGTCTGGTTTAAACACTAGCTGGGGAAATAACTTGAGCAAACAAAAGGCAGCATTTTCCATCTAGGGTGTGCTGGCAGTCACGGTATTACCAGCCACTGTGGGGAATGAAAGACAGATGGCACACCCTCCGGGCACCGCCAGGCTGTGGGTTCAAGTCCCACAGGGGTAATTCCATAGGATCTGTCTGGAGGATGCAGTACATGCTAATGAATGCTAGTGTGAGGGCGGCGTTATTTAAACTCTTGTCACAGCTACTGGGCAGTAACAACAAGTGACGAATGTCAGCACGTCCTTGTGGAATTCTTCTTGATTGTTCTCTTCCAAGGGCTTGAAAAACGGCCTACAAACTGCCAGTTTCATTCCCACGCCAATTTCGGAGTCGGCACCTGTTGTTGTCTTGACTGCTGTTATATACTTTCACAGCACGCACAGGTCCAAGGAGACGAGAGGCCACACAGACAAATCCTGCAAATGATTGGAAACAGAGCGAACCCTGAAGTTTGCTTTGGCTGGTTCTCGGGTAAAGGGCGCCCCCTGCAGGCTAGTCTATCACTAAGTCTGCTGGCAAGAAGGTTGATGACATGGGATCACGCTGCTTCTCTTGAGAGAATAATCTCCCTCAACCCACATGTTAGTTGCTGTGACATTCAATCGTCTAAACGATGACTCCAACTTCAGCATATTGTCTTATTTCTGTGCTCAAACCAGCAAGTGTTGCAGCATCCAGCCATCAGATTCCCTCTGAACCTCAAAACCCATCTGTTCAAGGAATACCTCTGCTAGCCTGATACCACTCTATATTTCTAGAATGTTCTTAGCTTTGCACTTTCTGCTGATTTGATTTGTAGTTTTATAAGGTTCTTGCTCTGTCTGGTAGATGTTGTGTCACTGGAAGCTCAGCCTAGCTGCACTTATGCCGAGTCGACTCCTCCGCAGCCATATGTTCGTAATGTGCTATTTGCCTCATTTGAACAATAAATAAAATGCATATAAATGTAAAGCAGTGTTTTTATGCACAAATGACTGTGTGTGTACTTTGGGGTCCACTGACATATTCACGTACATAAATTCGTAAACAGATGAAGAAACTTGCAAACAAAAATCAGTGCTTACCTGACTGACCCCATCCAGGGATATCTGAACACATGAATAACGGTCCTCTGGCTCACACGTCTGCATTTAAGTACAACTTTTATTAATACTGGATCCATCACAGTGCATTTTGTTACGTTAGCAGTGACTAAAGTTAACAAATCAAGAGGGTAAATATTACAAAAAAGACAAATGTATAATTAAAAAAACACAATAAATTAAAAAGAGGAAGAGAGAAAGGGGAGGAGACAGTGTGTGACGGGGATCCGCAGCGTTACTGGACTTCACTGGAAGGAGAGGTTTCGTACGAAAACAACAAACACATCATATATTTCCACAATAATAAGAAAAAACATTTTTTTTTAACTGTGGCAAAGGTCAAGTTCAGAGACCCTGTGTTTTTAGGTCCTTCAGGTCAGTGAAAGGAGTGACAGAGGAGGCGGAGTGACAGGGTCAGAGGTCATCATGTACTACAGGAGGCTGGAGACGCGAGCGACTGGCGTGCGGTTTTTCCGGCGCCCGTCTGGCGACTTACCAACGGAGAGCTCCCCCTACAGGTGGGGCTAATGTCAGCCCTGCATCCAGGGAGACGGCTCGAGCTTTTGAAACCACACTTATATTCATCCATTTAACCCAAGCTTTTATCTTGCAGTTTTTTCTTCCTCATATGCACTGTGGGATTACTTCAACAGAGGGGGCCGGCATAAAGTGCCTGACCGAGGGATGCAAAAGCGACGGTCCTTTCTGCTAACCCGAGACTCGATTTGTCTGTATGGGGGGGGGCAGGGGGCGTGCTTCATGGTGTGGTGATACATGACACAGAGAGTCTCTCTGGAGTACGAGCAGCAAACGCCGCTGGGCATGAAGACACAACGAGTCCTGGAGAAGCCCGCAGCTGTACATCGAGCTCTCGTCCCGAGCCTTATGGCCCAGCTTAATCTCTCAGAGTAACAAATGGCTCTGGAAGACTGAGAGAAATTACAGAGGTGCCTTCAAGCCACCCAGCAGCTGGACCCTCTATCAATCGAACATCAGCAAGACAGAAATAAGGGCAGAACAATACAGAACCTAACAAGATCCACACGTTCCACAATGGCAGGGGAGTTCCTTAAGAGCACACAGGAAGGACGGTCAGTGCAGAATCATGTGCTGGGTCTCATTAGTGGATGCTTCCCTCAGCCCGAAAACTGTCTCTCGGTCCCAGACCAACACACAACACGAAAAATGGGAAGCATTCCTCCAGTGGCACTTAGGAGAAGGCTAAGGTGCTCCTTTTGCCCCCAAGAACAGCCTGGAACTGGACCACACTTACAGGGAGCCTTCTAAGATGTACGCATCATCCTGCTCTGAGGAAGGTGACCAGATTGGGCGAAAGTGCTGGGTCATTTTTTTTAAGTTCCACCTGAGCCTTCAGCAGAATGTTCCTCCAGCACAGAATCACCACTTAGGATCTTGAGTATTTGCACGTACTTGTGAAACCAGGTTTACAAGCATGTGTGTGAGGGGAAGTGAGGTCCAACCCAGGTCAACGTATGGGATGGTGCTTCAGACTGAGGGTGAGAGCCAAACTAGAACCAGTGACCACAGCAGGTCCGAAAGCCAACCCCACACCCAGCATCCTGAGCTTCCAAGATGACACATCTATTTAAACAATGCCAACACAAAAAAGAAAGTCTGACTGTCAACATTCAGACAACATGAGAAACTAGATATACCGAGCTTTGCCAAATTAGATTTGATGATGATGTCATATTTTTAATCAGCGAAAAACACGATACAGCACTCCCGTCACCCTGTGGACTTGACTTTTGCCTTTTTTTTTCCCCCAGTACATCTAGACAGTAGAATTAGTGTCAAACACTGTTTTTTATTATTTCTGCAATGCGACTTTTACAATTAGTGTTCACCTTCTGATATATTTATATATATGTTTATTTACATACAAAGTTATGACCTGTGCTTCAGTGTAACTATGGAGGATCACCAGCTGCCTGCAAGTCCAGACACATCCATGTGGGGTCGCTGCTGAGCTGCTGGTTCACTAACCCCGCCCCTTTGGTCAAATCTGCCTCCTCCACACCGCTGTGCTCCTTCACAGTGTGGGAACAACGCTTGCTCCAGTACAGTACAAAAGGAAACATTTGGGGGAAAAAATTGCAATAAAGTTGTCACTGAATGTGGCTACAAGTGTCTTCAAGAACAGGGTGTACTATTTGTCTGAAATAAATAAACGGTGTTGTGTGTCTATGTGAAATATGTACATGTTAGTGGTCATCATGCTCAGGTGAGCTTTTTGCTGTCACACAGGAAGTCCCTCCTCCTGGTGCTTCCCCCCCCCCCACACTTCCTGTCATTTCTGGCTTTCAGTCTTAACACATTATTCCAACACGTTTCCACCAGACATCTCTAAATGAAACCTGAAGGCCTAGAATGTCCCATTTCATATCACAGGAGTTTTTTCCCCCCCACCCTTTAACTGTATGACACCTTTAAATAAGGCTGACATAAATCCAGGCATCTGGTGATCTGTAGTTTCTTCCCTCATATTGAGTGAAACAGCTGTAAGTGTCAAAATAAAGAAGAGATGTCGCACCATTAATTGCTATGTTAATTTAGCCTCCGGACATTTGCTTTTCACTAAAGATTAAATGTCATCAAGATCTATTACAAGTATATTTTTGCACGCTACCTACACTTTATTCCACACCTAGATTTCATGTACAGCTGCTGTTACTTCGCTCGAGTGAGTGTGCGCGCAAAAACCTCACTTCCAGCTCTCTTCTGCCTCATCTGCTCTCTGCTTACTACCTGAGCCTCCAACGCACATGCGCAGCAGGATTTCCCAGCACACTTCACTCAGAGTTCCCACGTGAAACCAATTTCTGTGCAAGTCTTCACCTAAACTGCACGAGTCAACAACATACATACATCAAACTGTTCGCTTGTGAATCTTCTTTCTGCGCCAGAAAATAAATAAATCCACATCATAACATCCTGCGAACTCCATTGGCTCTTCTCCGTTTCACCTTGTTTTGCCTTAATCCTTCACATTAACGTGTAAGATTACGCGCGCCTCGTTGTGTTGCCATGGCAGTGAATGTCAGAGTGTGACCACAGTGACATCTAGAGCTCACCCAGGGAATTTACCAAAGTGCCAAGGTTGTCATGAGACGCTGTACAGAATTTAAAACTGTTTGCCTGATGACCGCCTGAAGTTAGAAACGAAAGAAAACCTATACACTAATAAAACCTATACAGTAATAAAAATCTATTCTTTAAATTTTATCCTCCCACCCAAACAGCACATTTATTGCTTGATTTCATACTGAAATGTTCACTAAGTCTTCTAAAAATACACTTATATGCCTGGCATATTTTTAAATCATCTTTTCGTGAAATAGTGACACAGTATCAGTCCCTTTACACAGCCTGGAAATCTAAGGAGTGGAATACAAGGTAAACCCTCACCACTCCCGCCCCCCCAAAGAAAAAATAGACTAATCCTGGCAGCAGAGAGCTCCCCCTTGAGGCCACCAGCTGACCTGCAGCAGTGCCCTCAGCCAGCAACACCCAATCCTCCCTCCAGGAACCCGCACATAACATGGAGCACAGAGAGAGGGGGGGGGGGGCGCGAAGGTGGCCACGCCCCCACAGCGGAAAGTCTCTGAAATGAAAGCAGCAGGGGGGAGAGAGAGGCAGTTCAGCGCTACTTTTTCACCCAAATCCTCTATCGAACTCTCCATGGCCAGCAAACTGTGCCCCCTCCCCCAGGATTGGGGCAAGAGGGGTGGGCCACCTCTCCACGCTGCAATCCGCCACCTTGCAGTCTCCCACGTCTGCTGGGGTGTTGATGATTAAAACATGCGTCCATATATACTAAAATTACAGAGACGGGGCTGTTCTGTGGCTGTATAGTCTAGTTAGATTATTTACTGACTTTAATGGAGTCGTTACTTTTGTATTTTGCCCAGATGCCCCCCGCTTAGGTGGGACTGTCACAAAATCCTAGGTGCTGACCGATCATTGGAGACGGTCTTGCGGAGTCGGACCCCCCTCCGGATGGAAACCAGCATGTCCTCCCCCCCTGGGGGCTGGGGGTCCTGAGCGGGCACAGGGCGGGGTGGGGGCTCATCGGGCTGTGAGGGGAAGGGGAATTGCCCCTCACCCAGAGCCTGGGCGCTGGCCACTAGCTCGCCGATCTGCTCCACCAGGCTGTGCCGGTTGGCGGCCAGCAACTGGTCTTCCTCAGCCGGCTGGGCGTAGACGCTCATCTCACCAGAGCCCCATGCTGTGTTGGGCAGGCTCAGGCGCTTCGGCGAGGCCTTGGTGTAGTCCGGTGTGCCGGGGGAGGCGTCTTCGGCGTAATAGACGCACTCCTCGCTGCCCGCCCGAGCCGGTGGCCCAGTATAACCAGGGGAGTCCGGCACCGTGGGCGTCCTAACTGGCACCATGGGTGGTCGGATCGGGATGGGGCCCGTGTTGGACAGGGTGCGCCGTACACTGGGTTTCGTGGAGGGCGTTCGCCGAATGGTGGCAGTCCCCGGGGTCCCCGCGCCCCCTCCGCCCTGGCCACCCCCCGCAGTGGGCAGGCCAGCAGTGCTGGCTGGCCGCTTGGTCTGGATCATGCGGCGGTAGTTCTGGGCGATGTTGCTGTGCCGCGGGATGGTGGAGGACTTGTCGAAGTCGGTCTGCACCTCGCCTTCTGCGTCGCCATTCACAGAGTAGCAGTCGTAGTCGGACACTGCGGGGGTGGAGGGGTGGTTACCTCACCTTCACAGGGGCACAGCAGAAGGGAGAGGGGCAGTCTGGGTTACCTTGGGAGGGGATGGTGTCCTCAGAGCAGGACGGCGTGGTGGTCTGCGTGCTGTAGCCACTGGAGAACTGTAGGGAGTCCCGGCTGGTCTTCTGCTGGTCCATGCTGAGGCCACGAGTCAGAACCATGGCCAGATCACTGGCAGCTGGAGAGACCTCCTCTCCGTGCTGACACACGTGTCGGGGGTGGGGGAGAGATTAACACTGACTGAACACAGAGCCCAAACAGCCCAAGGGACTGAGCCAAGCCTTGACACTACAACACTTTCATATTTTCAGTTCAGTTTGTAAAGATGTGTATATTATTTGATTTTCTATATGCAATGCAGTGGAAGTCTTACAAATTACCCGCGACATACCAAATATCCCTGCCGCAATACTTGCTAAATACAGAGTGCTACACTGCAGCAGATGGTGCGGCGATTCGCTGGCTGAGGGTGTCACCTTGGCAGCGATGGAAGCCGGGGTCATCCTGTGCCTGTGAGAATCTTCCGGATGTATCCCAGCATACCCCTGGGCACCAGAGGGGGCTTCCTGCTCTCTGAGTCGCTCCAAAGGATCCTTCTTCCGCTGTAACGCAGTGACCATTGGCTGCTCGTAGGAGACTTTTGACCAATCCTGAAGATGGGGGCGTAGTTACTGAGAGCCAGCAGAGAGTTTGTGGCTTTAGGCCGAGGACTTATCCAGCAGCTTAAGTGCCTTCCCAAGAAGCAGTTTCAGTCGGATCCTACTGAGGGATCCTAACCAGATGGCCGTCCCGCTGAAGCCTCGCGTCAGCCATGTTGGGCATACGGAGCAGGGCAGAGCTTACAGTACCTGTGGCACCACTGATATCCTGCTCCGCTTAACAAACTTCTCAACGAGAGGTTTGGAAGGTGTAGAAACTCAGTTTACAAGACTTAATGCAAGCAGAAGACCAGGAGTGCTAGTCAAGGAGCTTAGCAATGAAGAATGAATGAATTAAGCGTGAAATGAACAGAATCAGACAAATAATATAAAGCTTTTATCAGGAACAGGAGGCAAAATTAAGTGCAGACCACCTATCTAAAAACAAAATGAAATAACACAAAGCTGCAAAGAAAAGTGCCAATGAAAACAAACCTTCCAGCAAGGAACCTTGGATGTGGGAGAGGAGGTGTTGGATCCAGGGGAGCGTTTATAGGGTGGGGACGCAGGAAGTATGACAGAGAGAGGCCGGGCGGAGCCAGTGTGAGAGAGAGTAGGGCGGAAGGTAGCGAAGGACGAGCCACACTGCGAAATGAGAGACAAGATCGTCAAGCGCGGTACAAGCTGCACAGTGAGCCTTGAGTCTGCCCATAATCACTGATCTGGGATCAGTGGGGGATTGTACCCCTAAGTGAAATGAGTGATAACACTGATCCAGGCTCAGTTGCTAAGGGCACAACATACGCTGACCCCGAGAGAAGCGGGAGGGCCATGGTGACGGGTGTGTCGATAACGACTTTGGGGCCAGATGCTAAAGATGGCACAACTCATTACAGTGAATTTGCTGACCTCCGCTCGTACTCCCCATCTGAGACACAGGCCTTATATATAAAATGGCTCCCAATTACAGCAGTAATGTGGTGACTGATCTCCAAAAATCCCATCTGGTTTGTTCCGTACAAATTAAGTTTGCTCTTCAGACCCCAAGTTTCTTGATGAGCTCACGTATGACAGCAATATATCTAGTAACTGTGGCAGAGCAACTTTTTAAAGGAAATTCAGGTATGTAATGGTGTTTTTTTTACCTTTAACTGAGTGACAGTATATTATATAAGACACGTTGTTTTATTGGATGTACCAAGAAAATATAAATTGCTTTGTGATCATGTCTCAGGGTGTGGCACAGTGAGAGTAGGTACCTTCATGCACATATCTGATGTGTACGATCCACAGGTGTCTTTATGTCCTTATATATGATGGTTATAAGTCACAGTTGCATTTATGTATGACATGTACAAGCTACAGGTGCATTTATGTAGTTATACAGTATACGATTTTAGACTGAGGAGCAGAGGGGTAAATCAAGGAAAAATTGATTTGTCCCAAACATTATGGAGGGCACTGCATGTACTTATGTATGATGTGTAAGAACCACAGGTGCTTTATATATTTTTATTTGGTGTTAACAAGCCACGGCTAATGTATTTATGGGGACGCAGGAAGTATGACAGAGAGAGGCCGGCTAATGTATTTATATATGATGTGCACATATATGATGTGCACAAGCCAGAGGTGCATTTGTGTACTTTTATATGATGTGTAACCACATGTGTTGCCATATGTTACCGAGGTCGGGGAGCTGCACTCGCTGATGGACTGACAGGTCTCCGAGGCCTCTGATGATGCAGAACTCGATGACTTCTACAGAAATGGAGGAAAAGACAAAGAGAGGTGGGGTCACAAAAATATATGATGGATGGGGAGGGGGAAAGGTAGCGTAGGTGGGTGGGGCACAGAAAGGCAGAATCAGAGGCTATAAATATGCAGTCTACTCTGCAGCTACAGGTGTAGCTAACAGTCATGCCTAAAGCAGGGTTCAGGTACCCATTCCTAATTACAGACTGATGCCTACAGAGGGGGCATGTGGATGATCTATGCATGTAGGGTCCCTACAGAGGGTACATGCTAATGACCTGTGCATTCAGGGTCCCTACAGAGGGTACATGCTAATGACCNAGGGTCCCTACAGAGGGTACATGCTAATGACCTGTGCATTCAGGGTCCCTACAGAGGGTACATGCTAATGACCAGTGTTTATAAATGGTACACGCTGATTAGCTGTGCCTGCTATGCTGTGAACCCACATTACACCCTGCCTCATTCATGCCCCTACCTTTAGTCGCCATTCAACACACGAATGGCAGAAAGAGGAAGCTTGAGTCCAACACAAATCAAAGCGACCGGGACCATGGCCCCTACCTGGCTGGTTATGTCTGAGGGCATGGGCGATGGTGGCTTGGAGTAGACATTGGTGTCCTGCGAGATGAAGCCAGAGTCATGAGAAGACACACTGCTGAGGCGGTGGGCTCCCCCTGGTGGCGGCTGGGCCAGACTGCAGTTAGCGACAGGAGATAAGTCTGTTAGCTGGCATACAAGGGAGTTACAGTGGATACTGATTATCCTGCCATGTGTTACAGGCAGGAGCGGATAAGCCGATGGAAGATGGATGGAGACCAAGAGGATATAAGGATACATGAAACTGAAAGAAGAATGAAAATGATATGAGTGAGAGATATCAGTGTCAGATACAAATAAACCACAACAAACACACATGGGGAAGGTCATATATTCTGGCTGAGTGACACCAACCCGCCCCCCCACCCCCCTTACCTGCACATGCTGCTCTTCCTGGAGCCAGAGCTGCTGGGGGAGGATGGGGGTGTCTGGTAGGACCAGCTGTAGTCGGAGCCCCGCAGGTCCTTAATCACCTGGAAAAGTGCAGCCAATCAGAGGCCTTCACACAACAGGCATCCCAGAGTTCAACATGCAAGAACTGGCCATTGGGATTGAGGAAAATCCGAAAATAGGTTAACAGGAAACAGGTGAGGAGGCCAAAGAATGAGGAGAATTAGGGCAGCGCTGCTTAGACGTCGTATTAGGGTCCTGGTACAAAGCGTGATCTCATATAGAGAACCTGTTCTAACGTGACAGATACATTATAGGTATGTTACAAAAAAATGAGACAGTA